TAATTTAAAAAATTAATATCTTAATATTAATACTTATTTATTACATTTTCATGTTTTCAAAAAAAAACCACCATAAAAGCCTCATATTAATTATTGCTTTTTTCTTTTTTTTAAATTTTAATTTATTTTATTTTTATAAAAACTTTAATTTTAATTTTAATTTTTATTCAAATTTTTAAAATTAAAAATAAAAAAATTTTTTTTTTTTTTTTCTTTAAATTATTTTCTTTCCTCAACATATAAAATTTTTCATATCATATTCCTTAATAATAATCAAAAAAAAATGAATAATCCTTTAATTAATTTTACCTTATATTTAATTTTATTCTCTTTTATGTTTTGCTCTATTGGCAAAGCAATTGTATTTTTAAAAAATTTTTATAATAATAATAATCATAATAATAATAATAACAATTATAATAATAATAGAAATAATAATATATTAAAATTATTAGGAAAACCAATAGAATTTATAATATCAATAGCAAAAAAAATAGTTATACCATTAGCAAAAAAAATAATAATAGTAATAATAATAGTTATTGCAATTAGAATTGCATTATCAATAGTAACAATAATACCAATAACAATAGTAATGGTAATAGTATTAACAATAGTAATAGCCATTGTAATAGCAATAGTAATGGCAAAAATGATAATAAATATTGTACTATCAATAGTAAAAACAATAGTACTAGCATTAGTAATAATAATGACAATAATAATAATATTGTTATTATTTTAGAAAAAAAAAAAAAATATACCTTAACTAGACTTCTATCCCACATATTGGGACTTAGTAAAATTTTTAGATGCCCTCAATTTTAGTATATTAGATAATATGTAACCGATATCATTCCTGGACAAACTCCAAATGCAATATCAAATGTATATAATTTTTTTATAGAGTAAGTTAATTATAATTTATATTCTAATATTGTTTTTATTTTTCTTAAGATCCTCGTTACTAACTTATTTTTATTTTAGTTATTAGAAAATATTTATCAACATTAGAACTAGAAACATACTTTAGTTTATCAATATGATAATTTTAAAAAAAAAAAAAAAAAAATATTAATAAAAATAATCATAATAATAAATAGCTTTAATATATAACCATAATAATAATAATAAAAGATTCAGCTTTATAAAAACCAGCTTTAAAATAAATTCACCCAATGAAACTATTCAATCAAATCATTTATTTGATTAACATTAATTCTATCAAATTTTCTCTGGCCAAGTAAATATGGTAGAACATCGATCGAATAATATTAGATGAATAAAATATTTATTTTCCTTTTTAAGTTTGGTATTGAAAGCAAAATACAGGAAATTATACAACTGTCAAACAACTACTATTCAGTCACCATGCCATCTTTTGTTTATGTCAACAGATTATTACTGGGTTATTATATCATATAAAAATTTTATACGAAATTATTTTCAACTTCATCAGACCGATCGAAAATATTTTCAATATTAAAATAAATAAAATTTTTAAATAAAAAACTTCATAGTTACCTATCATTATTCTAATAACTAAATTATTTATATATTTAATATATAAATTTTAATAATTAATAGTTTTTATAATTAAATTAAATTAAAAAAAATTAATTATTTTAATAAATACACACACCGCATTTTTCATTTTTAAGAAATTTTATTTATTTTTTTTTTTTTTTAAGATATTTATAGATTTATCAATAAATCCAATAAAAACGAATAATTTTTTTAAAAAAAAGAAAAAAATTTAATAATAAAATTATTATTATTATTATTATTATTAATAATAATTTTTTTTTAAAAAATTTAATAATTTTTTCAATTTTTTTATTTTATTTTTTTCGATCACACACAGCAAACACATAAATAATTTTAATAATGTAAACTATAGCACTTACAATCAATAATAATAATAATTTTAACATTTCTGAAATATGTTTAAAACCTTTTGAGAACAAGTAAGTAAATTAATACATTATTTTAAAACAACAACAACAACAAACCCATATACATATAGAAAGTGGCATCGTTGAAGAAATATAAAAAATAGACGCAGAATCACTGACATAGAAACAGAATTACTAATATAAATTAAATTAACTTTTATTAAATATTTATATAGTTTAAAGCTATGTTTGACAAATGCACAGCGAACCTATTAAAAGAGATCGTATACAAATATTAATAAATCCCAATCCATCCACGAACTATTGCTCAATAATAATAATAATAATCTCAAAATTTATTTTATAAATTTAAAATATGACCCCAAGAATTTAGTATCTGATAGAATTCCGCTCATCACACTTAGACATATTTAATTCAACTTGACTATATTGTAAAAAAAATAATACAAATGATCCACCACAATTAATTGATATTGCCTTATTCTCATATAGTATTACTTCACCCTGCTGGAATCTCAACTTTATAAACTTATAATCTGACTTACCAAGTACTAGAACTGTTCAAGTATATAGAGGTTGTAGATATGAAATTAAAAACAAATGTACAGCACCTACAGATTGATACTATACTGTGCTAATAATGTAACTTAATTAAATCAAATATGCAAGATCTAAAATAGTTCAAGATAACCACTACAATTATATTTGTGCCAAAAGAGTCAAAAAACTCAAGCTCAAGGTTCAAATTTCAGTATACACTAGCAGCTAATAGACTTTGATTGATAATAATTAGATCTCCTCAAACTTCTGAAATCAAAGAACCATAATGATAATCTGTTGATAGTGGTAAATGCAGAAGAGACACTGATATTTAAATAAGTAGTATTACATGGTTTCCAAACAAAACCATAAGTACCAAATTAAATTTTTCAAAAAACAATCGAGTATATTTAACTATTGAATCAAATAAATTTAGTAATATAGAACAGAACAATATTTAGAATTACCTCAACATTAGTCATCTGTAAAAAAAATATCAATAAAAAATAAAACAAAGATGAAATAAAGAACTCAATTTATTATATATACATATTCAAAATTAAGTGACAACAATAATAATCAAGACAATAAAAAAAGTCCAGGAAATAAAAATATGGGTGAATTTGAAACAGAAAGCTCAACTATTTATTAATACTGGTGTTTTTCGTTAAAAGGCTGAAACCCTAAATTTAGAATTTATAAATAAATGTTAGACACTCACATATTAATTATATAATAATTAATATATAATATATATATATAATTGGGTTTTTTAGCCTATAAAGCTTTTCCCATAAAAAGTAATACAATGGCTTCTTGCAAAGTGTTTCATAAAAATTTCTTTTAACCGAAATTTTTATTTTAATTTTTTTTAATTTTTTTAATTTTTTTTCAAAAATAATTCGACAAAAATAAAAGGCATAAAAATTCATAAAGAAAGATGATTATCAATATAGTTTTAACCCAAAAAGTATTTATTATTTGTTTGTTTGTTTGTTTTGGTTGTTTATATGTTTTCCAGATAGAAGATCACCCACTCTTTTACAATAAACCAACATTAGAAAATTTTTTTATCATTAAAAGTTTTTTATATTAAATAAAATATTGTTTTCTTTATTTTTTTTAATCAATAATAATAATGTTGATTTATTACCCAGTAATTTTATACTTTAAAAAGAAAAATAAACTTTTAATAATATATAAAATTAATTTCAAATATTTAAAAAAAATGTTAAATTATTCATTTATATTGTCCAAAAATAACTAGATTGTAATTTTGGTGATTAAAAACCACACTATCATTTTTTTAAAAAAATTTCTTTGATCATGCGATTTAGTATGGGCTGGGTAATGTATTTTTGTTTTACTAGAACATCCAATGTATTTTTGAAAAAAAAAAAATTAAAAATTAAAAAAAATAAAAAATAAAAAATATAAAAAAAAAAAATTTGTAAATTACAAAACCTATGTGGACAATTTAGAAATAAATAAATAAGATACCTTTTTTTTATTTTTATTGTTTTACAAGGTTTTTACAATATTTTTTAAATTTTTGATTTATTTAAAAATTAAGATCAAACACTCTTTAAAAAAAAAAATTTTATTATTTTTTAAAAAATTTCACACATTAATATTTTTTTTTGTTATAATAATATTAAAAATAGAGATAATAATTAAATAATGAATAATAAAAGGTCTATTGAAGCTTTAGATGATGATAATAATAAAAATAAAAAAAATAAAAAAAATCATTCTGATGATGAAAACAAACCAAAGCAAATTATATCATATTTCAATAGTGATTTTGATAAAGAATATAATGAATTCATAAAAAAAGATTATAATAAATTAAAAAGAGAAGATATTAAAGAATTTGCAAATAAAATTGGTATCAATAGTATTGGTAAAAAATGTGTTATTTACAAAAGAGTTTCAGAGTTTTTTGGGGCACAACAAACATTAGCAATTGAAAAACAAGAAAAAGAATCAATCAATTCATTCAATAAAGATACGGCACAACTAAAATTTAAGGATATCGCGCCACATGAAACTTTATTCTGGGCAATTTTTAGAAATAAAGTAATTTTCAAGAATATATTTTCAAATTTTATATTCAGTAGATCATTCAGCTATGAAAGACTTAACTCTCTCAATTTTATATTAGATAGATACACAAATGGTGAAGCAATTTTAAAAGATAAAGTGAAAAGTGCTCAAAATTTACAATTAATTTTAAATTACAATTATACTTATGAAATAAAAACCATATGTGAAACTATAATCAAAGATACACCATCCAATAGATCTTTCTATCAACAACTATTTTCAAACTATTCAAAAACAATTAAAATTATTGAGTTTTTTAAAATGGCATTTCAAACATCAAATATCACAGTATTAAAAGAACTAAACCACTATTTACAAACTCGAGAAAGCTTTTCGGACATAGATGTACATTACATACAAACTTATCAATCTATTAAAATGATAAAATATTTAAACTCAGTTGGTTTTAGAACAAGAATTAAAAGAAACTATTATCATGATAATAAATGCTTTTTTTTTCGTTTTTCATTTGACATATCAAGTCTTAAAAATTTAAATCAACTCATTAAAACAGTCGAATGCTTACCATTACTTTATGAAAAAATAGAGAATAGTCAAATGGAGAAAATCAAAACATTAAAAAAACTATCATCAAAACTATTTACACAAGAACAATTAAAATCAACTTTAAACCAACTCTTAATGGAGAATAATTGTTTCAATAATAATAATATGGAAATTATTACAAGTTTATCATTTTTAAATAATAATAATAATCATGATGATATGATTAGTTTTTTTTCAATTAAAAAAATTATTTTAAAATACATAAAACTATTCTTTCAAATAATACAACAACATTTACCACCAGAATACTATATTTTCTCAAGTGATAAACAATTATTTTTAGAAAAATTGAGAAAAAATAAGTTTTTATATGAAATATTATTTAAATACACAATCACCGATTATCAACTCTATTTAGAAGCATCCAATCTACTTTTAGAAGAAAAATATTGTTCTGGATCTAGTTTATTTATTTTTTTAAAGCTCACACTCGCGAGAAATAATTTGGAATTAATTCGAGTGATATTTGATCAACATATTAAAATATTTAATAGTTTTTTTCCACTATATAATATTAAAAGAGATACTATTACCATATTAAATAGTATTCAATCAACAGAGGTATTAGACTACTTTTACAACAACCACCAAAGCATTGCTTTGTTTAGAGGGGAGCATAACTACTTTTGCTTTTTTGTATCAAATAAAACAATTCTTAAACATTATGAAGAGTTAATGGTCAAGTTAGGAAGGAGTTTTTTTGTTCATAATTTAGATTTTTGGGTAAATAAAGATTTTGCAATAGGATTTGAAGTATTTTATAGAACAGACAAAAACCCAATTGTTTATAACACTCGAGACTTTCATACTCCCGTTATTAATCCTTTTTGCCAAAGATTGAAATCAGAAGATCAAGTTGACACTACCATAAAATATTTCAAATCAAAAAGTTATATTTTAATTTATTCACTAGATTTAAAAATAATCAATTTTTATAACTTAAAAGTATTTCAATGGCTACTCGAACATGCTCAATTACCATTACCAAATGAAATTATTGGAAATCAAAAAATTCAATTACATATAAACTTCATTAATAATAAAAATCAAAAACTGCAACCTCACCAACAAAGAGATATCAAATTTAATAAACAAACATTGTTAATTGAAGTATCTTCTGTTACTTACATTTCTTTACTTTATATTTTTGGCAGATACGAAACTATATTTCAAATAAAAAATCTATCACTAGTACTTTTTCAGAATTTTAAATTTTCAACAGAATTTATAGATCAATTATTAAATAATCTTTTAATTACCAAAACAATTAAAATATACGAAATAAAACTCTGTGAAATAATTATGAATTTAATAAATGAAGGTAACACAGCAGCAATTAAAATAATTTCATTAAAATATCCTCAAATAATTACAAAACATTCACCATTAAATCCAAATGGTATTTTTAAAAATTCAAAAAAACTTTTAAGAGAATCAATAAAAAGGGATCATGTGGAAATTTCAGAAATTTTATTTTATTATATTTCAATAAACAATAAAGAATTTGAAAGATACATAAAAAATTCATCAGATAGGGAACTTTTTGATTTTAAACTAAACTAAAAAAACTTTATAAATAAAGATAATTTTAATATAAAATATTTATTTTATTTTATTTTTTCATAATTAAAAACCTATATAATTAAAATTAAATGCCACAAAAAACAATAAAAAAAGCAAATATTTACAAAGATCGATCGATTTTAATTTTAAAGTAAAAAATAATCTTTTTTTTTAGAAACTTTATTTTAATTTTAATATTAATAAGAGCAGCTACCATCAAAGTCTTGCTGAAAAGAAAAAAATTGTGCTGTTATTTTGGGTCAACCAGCAAATTTTATAAAATGAATAAAAATGAATAATTTTTTTAAAAAAAAGCTAAAAAAAGAGATAATTTTTGTTAAAAAAATCGAAAAATGAATACGATAACGATAATAGGTAAAAAGTGAGGATAACGATAATTTTTAATCTCTAGTCTTGTAGGCTTGTTATTATACCGCTTCTTTTAATTTTATAATTATTTGAGTGGGTGTTGTACTACAATCCTTTATTTTTTTTTACTATATTATACTGGCCTGCTTTCACATTTTCGAACTTGTTTTGGTACATGGTTTGCTAATGGTTTCATTATTGCTCTTTGTAGATTTGAAAATGTTTATAAAAATAAAATATTTAATTTTTTGATAATATTTAATATATAAAAAAAATAAAAAAGGAAAGAGTGGTTTGTGTGTGGTTGTGATTATTTGTAACTGTTAATATTATTGCTTATTTAAAAAAAAAAAAAATTCTTTTAAAAGATAGAAAATAACCCCCAGCTTTAAAGCAAAATAAAATTTAATATAAAAATTATTAATAGAACCAAAATAAATTTCTGATGGTGGAAAAAGGAATGATATAATTAATGGCTAAAATTAGAAATTGGTTCTTATAAAAAAAACAAACCTTTCTTTTTTGGAATATTGTTTACATTTTAGATTAAATTTAAATAAAAAAATATAAAAACAATTGTTTAAAAAAAAAAAAATTTTTAAACCCATAATTTTTTTTTTCAAATAAAATTTTTTTTTTTTTTAATTATTTTTTTATAATTTTTTTTTTTTTTTTCATGTTGATTTTTTTTAATAATTTTTTAATATTTTTTTTTTTTTTAAACAAATCCATATAAACCACCCCTTTATAAAATTCATATATAATCCTTTATTTCTATATATATCTTTTTTTATTTATTTATTTATTTATTATTTATTTATTTATTATTTATCTTTGTAAAATTAAAAATTTGTATATAAAAATAAAACACTAAAAAAAAATAAAATAAAGATGTCATTTCAATTTGATCAAAACTTACAACAACAGGTCGATCAATTTTTAGGAGATGTCGATGATTTTATAACAAACAAAAATGGTTCAGCTGTCGAAAAATTAATTGGATTACTTGGTAGCGAAGAAAAATCAATTCAATATAACTCTATGGCCATGTTAGCATTTGCCAATCAAGCACCAAACAACAAAGATGTCTCACGTGAAAATGGTCTCTTAAAGATTTTCCTTGACTATTGCCATCCATCTAAAATCATCACTGTTTTACCAATGGTCAAAAATGCCTCAATGGGTTTAATGTTTTTAGCCAATCATTGTATGTATATTTAGCAAAAAAAAAAAAAAAAAAAAAAAAAAATTTTTATCACAATGTAAAAATTTAAATTTTTTATTGTGCACATTAAATTATTTCTTATTTATTAATATATTTTTTTTTTTCTAGCCGATGTAAATAAACAAGCTATTGCAGATTTAAATGGTATTGATACAATTTTCGAATTATTACGTGACTTATTGGTTATGATTAAATCACCACCAGAAGATGTTAAAAAAGAAGATATTGTATCAACCCTTTCACAAACTTTAAATTTGGTTATTATTTTAGCCTCATTACAAGGAAATAGAGAAAAGATGGGTACTGTTGCAAACTTTTTAGTTTTAAATTCACTTCTCTCATATGAAAATCCATCAAGTTTAGATCTTCAATTACAAATTCAAGAAAAAGCATTATCTGCTACTAATAATATTTGTATACATAGTAAGTAAAAAATTTTTTCTTTTTTTTTTTATTTATTTATTTTACTAATTTTTATTATTTTTTTTTAAACAGAGGAAAATAAAGAAAATTGTAGAGTCGCAGGTGTAGTTGAAAGTGTTTTTAAATTATTCTATTCAACTAAACCATCAATTCAAGATGGTGCATTAAGAATGATTTATAATATGACAATTGTAGATGCAAGTAGAGAAGCTATCAGACGTTGTAAAGGTTTAGAAACTTTAGTATCAATGTTAAAAGATCAACCAGAGGCAGTTTCGTTACTCTCATTAAAAGCCCTCTCAAATATGTTTGTTGATAGACAAACTATTGAATACTCTGTTAATAATCAAGATGCTATTCTTGTTCCAATCTATAATGTTTTCCCACCAGCATATGGCCAAGGTTGCAGTGATAACTTATTAGATCAAGTTTTAACTGTTGTTCAAAATTTAGTATCCGAAGAAAACTTAATTGAAAATGTCGCTAGATCTGGTATCATTACTAAAATTGTCCCAGCAGTCAAAGGTATGCCATTAACAAACACCACCCATCAATCAATTTTAGTTAAAGCTTCATGCATTCTTTCCGGTTTAATTACAATCGAAGAGGTTCAACAAGCAGCCGTCGAAAATGGTCTTATTACCCTTTTAGTTGAAATGATTCAATTACCATCTGCCGAAGTCAGAAGAGAATGTGCTCGTGCACTTGCCAATGCCACTCCATACTATGATGATGTTAGAGCTGAAATTGGTAAACAAGGTGGTGTCAAATTATGTGTTGAACTTCTCTTACAAAGTGATAAAGAATTGGTTAAACAAGCTGCTCGTTCTTTAGTAAATTTAGCTCGTAATACCCACAATGAAGAAGCCCTCTTTGAATCTAAAGGTCTCGAACATTCAATTCGTTTAATTAATCTCCCAGAAAAAGACTTAAAGATGCTTGGTACTAAATTATTGGTAAATTTATCATTAAATGAAGCTGCTCGTATTGCTTTTTGTCAAAAAGGTGGTCTTTCCATTGTTACCACCCTTTTGGTTTCACAAGATCCAGAACTTCAACTTCAAGGTACCAAAATTGCAACAAATCTTGCTATCTCTGGTAGAAATCGTAAGATTATGAATGAACAAGCTCCAGAACTTATTCCATCATTAAAAGCATTGGCCTCATCAGCTGTTGCCGATATTAAACTTCAATCTGAAGTTGCTCTTAACAATTTATCTTTCCCATACGAACAATCTTATGAAGGTTTAGATCAAATGGAAGATGCTATGCCAATTTTCATGCAATCACAATACGAAAGAGATGATGAAGATGAAGAAGATGACGATGAAGAAGCTGATGCTCGTAAGAGACAAGAAGAAGAAGAAATTAGAATTGCTGCTGAAAAAGAAGTCGAAGAAAGAAAACGTATTATGCAAGAAGAGGTTAAAAGAATTGAAGAACGTCGTAGACAAGAACAAGAAAAGAGAGTTCAAGAAGAACAAGCTAGAAAACAAAGAGAGGAAGAAGCAGAGAAATTAAGAAAGGCTCAAGAAGAAATGGAAAAATTAAGAATAGAAGAGGAAGCCAAAGAAAAAGCTGAACAAGAAAGAAAGAGAATTGAAGAACAAAAAGAAAAGGAAAGACTTGAACAAGAACGTATTAAATTACTCGATGAACAACAAAAACAAAAAGAAGCAGAAGAGAGTAAGAGACGTGAAGCTGAAGCCAAAGCTCAAGAAGAAGAACGTGTCAGAAAACAAAAAGAAGAGGAAGAACGTATTAGAAAACAAAAAGAAGAAGAGGAACGTATCAAGAAAGAAAAAGAAGCTGAAGCTGAAAGACTTCGTCTTGAAGAGGAGGAACGTCTCAAGAAAGAAAGAGAAGTTGAAGAAGCCAGAATGAGAGCTCTTGAAGAAGAACAACTCAGAAAGATGGAAGCCGAAATTAAACAACGTGAAGAGGATATCCGTCGTCAAAAGATTGAAGAAGAAGAACGTAGAAAACGTGAAGAGCAAGAAAGAAAACTTAAAGATCAACAAGATAAAGCTTCACAAGAATCTGCTCGTCTCGCTCAAGAAGCCTCGAGAGCACAAAAGAGAACCCATATCGTTCAAGAAATCATGCAAGTTGAAGTTAACTATGTTAAGAATCTTCTTTTAATCGTTCGTAAATTCTTACAACCACTTAACCAAATTGCCACCTCTAAGCGTCCAGTTGTTACCGCTGAACGTATTGCTCAAATTTTCTCAACCATCGAAAACATTCAAAATCACAATGCTATTTTCTCTGATGGTCTTACCTCCAGAATTAAGAGATGGTTAGCCGATAACAAGAAAGATCACTTAATCATTGGTGATATCTTCCAAAAGATTGGTGGTTTTATGAATGACTACAGTAAATACATTAACAACTACAACAACTCCATCAAACTCTACAACGAAACCAGAAAAGCAAATCCACAATTTGCCGCTTTCATTAAAAAAGTCGAATCAGATCCTGAACTCAACGATAAAGAATTAGAAAATCTTTTAATTACACCAGTTCAACAATTACCTCGTTATATTATGTTGGTTCAAGATCTTATTCGTAACACTAGCGAAGACCATCCAGATTTCAAACCACTCACTGAAGCTCTTGAAAAAATTAAACATATCACCACCATCATCAATGAAAAGAAAAGAGATGCTGAAGATGCCTTTGCTATGCTTCAAATCCATCAAACCCTTCATGGTAAAGTACCAAATAACTTTGTTGCTCCACATCGTAAATTCATTCGTGAAGGTGCTATTCATTTCGGTTCATCAAGTGGCTCATTCAAAGATAAAGAACCAATTGTTTTCCTCTTTAATGATATGGTTATGATGACAATCAAACATCCAAACAGACCAAACGAATATAAATATCGTTACTCAACATTTTTAACCCCATCTACTACAATTGAAGATTTACCAAGTGTTAACAATGGTTTCATTATTAAATCTGGTCAATGGTGGTCATTCAGTTGCCCAACTCCAAAAGATAAGGAAAATTGGGTCGAAGCTATTAAAAAATCATTAGCCAATCTTCCAAAAGAAGCTTTAAAAGCTCAAACTCCATCAAAAAAATAATTTAATCAAAAATAATAAGTAAAAAAAAAGTTTTAATTACTTTTTTTTTTTTTCTAATATATATTCATTTTTTTAAAAAAATAAATAAAAATTTTTTGTAATAATAATAATAAAATAATTTAAAAATATAAATGTTTTTTATTTATTTATTTGTTTATTTGTTTATTTGTTTATACAAGAAATGAAGTTTTATAATTAAACTTTTTACAAAATAATACTAAATCATTATTTAATTTTAAAAAGTTTTCTAAATTATTATTATTACCGTCGTAATTGTTGTTTTTTTGATTTATTAAATAACAATTATATAAATTAATGGCAAGTAATTTTTTACTATTGTTTATATAATTATTTAATGATTTAACTAAGTGATTGGTTGAAAAATTGCAGCTATTTGAAAAATCCAATTTGTAAATATAATCATTGTTGGAGAGTGCTTCAAACATTTTGCCCGTTTGGTGAACAGTGAAGTTATTATTTGATAAATCTATTCCTTTTAATGTTGTACTCTTTAGGAATATCATATATATACTTGAATTAATATCTGAAATATTATTATTTCTTATTGATAAGTATTCGATTTTTGTTTTTGATGGTTCACAGAGTAAATTTGATAAACTGATTAATAAAGATTCATCTATACAGCCATCAGTAAGTTCTAATTGGGTTAAAGTTGGGTGTTTGATTAATGATTGAAAGAAGCCTTCTGAAATAATCTTTAATTTGCTAATGCTTAAAGAGGTAATGGTTTGATTGAAGGAAAACACATTTGAAAAAAGTCTTGAAATTGTACTTGAAAGTGGTAACCCTATATCCCCAGAAATGCTGAGTTTTCTAATGGTTTTATTATTTTTTAAATTATCACAAAATGTAATAATATTTTCCATTGGTTCATTTTCCATAAAGTGTAAAGGAGAATCTATATATTCAATGGATGGTTGATTAATCACCATATTAAATCTTTCCAAATATAATTTGGCACCTGATATTTTAAAAGATGAAAAGTTCTTCTCTAGTAAGTGGTCAATTGAAAGGTTACCATGACTATCGATCTTCAAATTAAAGTTCTGGACTTTAGACTTGATTAAAGCGCCTAGGAAAACCATTGGATTTGAGCAATAACAAAATGAATTTAGTGATACTGTTTTTAAATTTATTGATTTTAATAATGTTTCTGCTACACTCTCTAAAGGAAATGTAATTTTATTTGATGATTTTATTTTTAAACTTTCTAGATAAAAACTTGATGGTTGCAATTCTACAAAAAATGTATCTGATAATAAAAATTTAATTTGTTTTATACTTGAAATATTTTTTATTAGTTCTCTTATTGATGATATTATTTTATAATAACTATCATTATTATTATTATTACTATTGTTATTGTTACTATAAATTATTAAATTATTGTCTAAATCTTTAAAAATTAATTTAGTTATTCCATTTAAAATTGAAAAATAGTTGTTATTACGATGAGTGTAAATCATATTGTTGCTTGTAAAATAGTGGTTAAAACGGTCTAATCTTTTTTGGCCCTCTTGTTGCTCGTGAATAATTATTAATCTTTTTTCTAAATACTCTAAACTTTTGAAATCATTTACTACAAAATGGTTAACTAATTTCTTTATTACACTAAACCACAATTTACAAACCAATGCCAATTGGTATTTCCATTTTCCTTCTTCTCTTTCTTCTTTTATACAGTAGTGGATAATTTCTTTATAAATTATTTTTGATGTAATTTTTTTCATTTTATAAAATATTTATATATATAAATTTATATTTAAAAAAAATTATATATTAAATTATAAATAAATAAATATGTATAAAATTTATTTGTTATGAAAAAGTGTTTTTATTTATTAGTGAATTTTTATTTAATTTAATTTTAATTTTAAATTTAAATTTTTTTTTTAATTTAATTTAATTTTTGTTTTTTTGTAAAAAAATTTTTAAATTTAAATTTTTTTTAATAGATTTTATTGTGTTGGTGTGGTAAAAAAATTATATTCACAGTCCCACACATAACAACATAGAGAATTCTAATTTTACAAAAATAATTCAAATAAAAAATCATTATTGAATCATCCTCGAAATAGAAACACCATTAGATCCCAACAAAAAAATTGTAAAAAAATAAATTATGATAACCTCATTAACATTGTTTTATTTTTTTTTTTGTATTTTATAATAAAAAAAATTTTATTTAAAAAATAAATAATAAAAAATAAAAAATATAATATAAAAAATAAAAATTAAAAATAAAAATAAAAAATAAAAAATAAAATAACTGCCCCCATTTTTAATAAATATCTTTTATTTAATCAAAATTAAATTTATTGATATCTTCAATGTATTAAATTTGTTGACTTGATCGATTGATGATTTAATTTCTCTGGCTAAAATTTAAACAATTCACCATTATTATTTATATTTTGGCTATTATAATCTATATGGTCAGCAACATTATAATTTGGTAATTTTTGTTCAGAACTTTCTTTTCTCTTTGAACCAGTAACTTCGATTTCAAAGATTAAATTGGAACCGCTTGGAATACTAGAGTTTTCTTTTTCACCATAACCCAATTCAGAAGGAATGGCCAAAACTCTTTTAATACCTTTTCTCATACCGATGACACCAAGGTCCCAACCTTTAATAACTCTTCCTACACCAACTTCAAAACGAAATTGAGTTCCTGATGAAATATTAGAATCAAATGAACTTCCAACTTTGTTGTTATTTTCGAGCCAACCTGAATATTTTATTGAAACATTACTCTGAATTATTATTATCACTAGTGATAAAAAATTAAAGCAACAATATTAATATTTATACAATAGAAATAGTATTGATTTATATAACTTTAAAAAACTAAGGTACCTACAACTTAAATAAATGAATTGGATAACTAATATAAACCTCAGCTTGATTTGGGTTGGTAGTATTTATATTATTCTTTTTCAGACATTGTACTTGTATTTTTAAATAATGATCCAAGTTTTTGTAAAATAACTGTATTTCTATTCCTCTTCAAAAAAATTCACAGTTTTAATGTAATCAAAATAAAAAAAGCTCTATAAAATTGAAACCATAAAGAGTTTAAGATTGATTAGTATTTTATTTATCTGTTTATTTAAATAGAATAACAAAAAATAAAATAAATTTATTATTTATTTTTAAAAAAAAAAAAATAATTGAGGATTTTGTGTTGGTTTTTTCTTTTTTTTTCAAGAAACAATTTAAAAAAATACAAGAAATGATTATTTTTATTTCAATTTATTTTATGGTTTTATTTATTTTCAATATAAATATAGTATTATTGATTTCAAAAAGATTATTATTGTTATAATATTCCAACATTTTTTTTAAAAACATCTCTAACTAGATCTATACAATTTTAAATTTTTGCATTAAAATGAAAAAAATTTAGTTGGAAAAGATAATGATATTCCTAAAAAATAAATTTTATTTTTCTTTAAACCTGGTATTTTAAAAAATCAAATATATTTAAATTTCCTACCTTTTATTTTCAATGTAAAAAATCAAAAATATATAAATTTCCCACCTTTTATTTTCCATGTAAAAATCAAATTAAATTTTAAAAAAAAATATAAAAAAAATTATGCATAAAAATAAAAATTTCATTGTTAAAATAAACCAAAAATGAAATTAATAATTTGTGTATTTATTTTATTTATTTCTCATTGCTTGGGGAAACAACTGTCCAACCAATATGTTAATTTACAAGTTTTCAGTGATTCTCAATGTCAAAATAGCTCAGACTATGGTGTAGGTTATTCCATTACAACCGATTATTGTGTCTCCATTGATGACTATCGAAGTTATGTTTTTACAGCTGATAAAAACAAAGTTTCATGGAATATGTATGTTAACAATTTCAAAGATCAATGCTCTATTCAAGTTGGGCTTCAAGAAACTTTCGAAATTAACTCTTGCATTCCATCCTCGGAAATATTTTTTGATGGCACCGTTGTAGCAAACAAACAGAGATTTTACCTCAAATTAACAACAAGCTCTACTCCTTATATACCAATTAGCTCAGGATCTATTGTTAAAACATTCATGGGTAACTATACTTGTGACTCTGATAATATTTTAATCGTCCAATATTTTATTAGTGGCACCACATTCGCCAAATTGTCTCAAGGCTATTTAACCTACTATTGTGATATTAATAAAAAGCCATATTCTGTTAACTGTCAAAGAAATGGTCAATGCTCCCAACCAGAATCATTAAGCTCAAATTGTAACTTAATCTCCCAATTCTATAATGCTACCTCTGACTCTAGTCCCCAATCTGACTCTGACTCCTCAACACCATACACTACAACCTATAGCTCCACATCAAACAGTTTCCCTACAGGCCAAAGTTGTGAGTCTGGATCTTGCAACCCATCTGGTGTTATTACCAGTGCCAGTTGCGAATCTGGGTCTTGCAACCCAACAGGTGTTTATACTAGCGCCAGTTGCGAATCTGGGTCTTGCAACCCAACAGGTGTTATTACCAGTGCCAGTTGCGAATCTGGGTCTTGCAACCCAACAGGTGTTTATACTAGTGCCAGTTGCGAATCTGGATCTTGCAACCCAACAGGTGTTTATACTGGTGCCAGTTGCGAATCTGGATCTTGCTCAGTTACCGCTAATCCAAGCTCTGGAACATCATCCTCCACATCAAGATATACAAATGACTTTGAATCTAAAGGTGGTAGAAAAGATACAAACAGCCCAATTATAATACATGAAAACACAAAACAACATCTACAAAAACCACAACAACCAAAATACGTTAGAACCGAGTTCCACTCATCAACCTACTGTATCTAAAACTGTTAAAAAAAAAATAAACTTCATCATTATAAATTTTTAAAATAGTAGTTATTTTAAAACTTTATCAAATATAAAAAAAAAAAAACAGATAAAATATAAAAAATAAATAATTAATTTAATTTAAACTATTTACAAAATTTTATTTAAATTTTTCATCACAACATTTTTTTTTTTGGTATATATACAGTTTTATGTTATGATGAGCAATAGTGTAATTTAATACAATATTACTTTGATTCCTTACTTATAATTATATAATATACTTTTATATAATTATTTTTTCTTGGTGTTACAAATTTTTTTTAAAAAATATAATTTTAACCGTCAATATAATGGAACTCCTCTTCTTGCAAATTGCTGTTACTGTTGCTATTAGAACTGTTATTTAAACCGCCATTATTTATATTATTATTATTATTGTTGTTATTAATATCATTATCTATATAATTAAAATTATTATTACTATTGTTATTATTATTTGGTTCTATATAATTATCAGTTATATAATTATTTTCACTAGTATTTTTATTTGAAACTGAAATGCTTGTATATCTATTACCGCCAATATCGGTATTAATTTTGCCAATGCTTCCATTATAAGGTATTGTTGGTTTATAGCTATTATAGTTTGCATGAATTGGCATTTGGCTTTCTAAAAAGTCTAAAATAAAATTGAATGAAGGTCTTTCTTCTGGGTTCTTTTTCCAACACATGGTGGCTAATTTTGCCAAAGGTTCCCACATTGGTTCTAAAGGTGATGGGATTGGTGGTCTATAATCTTCATGGGCGGCCATATTTGCCATTTTTAATGGTTGTAGATTTTGATTTGGTTGTTCACCGGTTAAAAGACACCAAATTAAAATACCAAATGAATAAACATCGGCCTTTGGGGTATAGAGATCACCAATAAATACTTCTGGTGCTTGATAACATAAATGACCAACGGTTGATGTCATTTCAAAATTTTGTTCTTTACTGAGACCGAAATCTGCTACTTTGGCAATTGTTAAACTTTCATCCAATAATATATTTTTAGTTGATAAATCTCTGTGGAGGATTGGGTTTGGTTTCCAGTCGTGTAAATAAAACATTCCTCTTGCAATTGATAAAGAGAGTGACCATGCCATTATTGGGTTTTGTCTTAATAAAAAGTAACGATCTGCCAACAAACGATCAAGACTGCCACCTGCCATATATTCTGTTACAATACAATTGAGGTTGGTTTCTGAGCAAACACCTAAAAATTGTAATACATTGGGATGTCTTAAAATACTAAGGATTGCAACCTCTTTGAAGAAAACATTCTCTTCTTTATTGCCATCTGTGTTTCTAAATGAATTACGATGAAGAATTTTAACTGCAACAACAGCACCCTTCCATACTGCTTTTCTAACCTCTCCAAAATAACCTTCACCAATAACATGTCCAAATTTAAACTCGTTAAATCTAATATAAAATGCTGATAATTGTAAAGCTGATGCTGCCCCTTCACCACTGGTTGCAATTGACTCTCTACCAAACAAACTTGTATATTCATCTATAGATTTTAATAATAAAAGGATATTGTTAGTAAATTTTAAAACTTGTGAATAATCACGCATTATCATTATGAATTTAAACTACTTACTGAAATTTGTCAACAATGGTAAAAATTCGCTTCTTGCTCTTAATAAGTTGGTATCATCACCACAAGTTTTGAATAATATTGGACCATATGCAAATGAATAGATTACACTACCAATTCCTAAAAAACAATAGCCAACATCGGTATTAAAAATATTTAAAAGTGATCCAACTGAATTGAGGCAATTGTATGCTATCAAAAAACATAACCAAACTCTACTTGTTGGTCTAAGGAGTGATCTCTTTAATGTTAAACCCAAAACTATAATATAAACTAAAAATCCTGCTGCACTAAATGCAAAGAGAGTATATTCATCTTCAAACATAAAGGTTTGACAGCTCATGTTATTACATTTTTCTTTATCGTCAAAAAATGATGACATCTAAAATAAAAAGATAAAAAAGTTTTAGTAAATTATTATTATTATACAAAAGAATTATATGTATACATACACTTGTTGCCAATACTATTAAATATAGTAATGCACATAAATACAATGACCTTCTAGCTGAAAATCTATCATCCTCTTTGCCATACAAGAAAATTAAAATCCAGTTATCTGTAACTACATGACCAGAGCCGACGAGAATAACCAAAATTGGGTAGATAATTGAATTGGGTGGTAAAAATAATAAGAGCAAACCTTCGAATGCTAGCCATAAACTAACCAATAATGTATGTTTGAAGTAGGTTGAATTAATAATTTGTGGAGAATCCATAGAGATACCGAAATTCTTATCCCAAACATCTTCTATCACATTGTTAATTGCTGATGGTCTGTTGATTGGACTATTCTTTTGAAGAAAGGTATAACTTCTTTGTAGTCTAAATAATAAATACAATGCTGAAAAAATATAACCCAATGCCATACTATCTACCATTGCATTAAACACTAAAGCAGAATCGCCACTACCTGCCAACTCATAGGACTTGTTAAATAGATATGAACAGAAAGTACATGATATATTTGATTTTCCAAGTGCTGTATCACTGTCACAAACGCCCATTTTTCTTTTTGATTTCTTTTTTTGATTTATTTATCTATTTATTTGTTTGTTTGTTTGTTTGTTGTTTTTATTGTTGCTTTGATGCCTTGAAATTTGTATTAAGGCTATTTATATATTTATTATATAAATATATATGTAAATATATATAAATATATATTGAAAAAATATATATTATATACTAAGTTATACTTTTAATTATCATAAATTTGAAAAAAAGAGTGATTTGAAAAAAATATATATATATATAAAAAAACCTTATTATTATTATTTATAATTATTTATTTGTTTTTGTTTTTGCTTTTGCTTTTGCTTTGTTTTTTATCTAAAAGAATATTAAAAATAAATAAAAATTATTTGTTGATTTATGATTATATTATAATATCCAAGATGATGATGATGATGCTTTATATGATTATTTATTTATTATTATTTTTTTTTATTTTGTGTTGGGGGGGCAATAAGTAAAATTTTAAAATATTTTAAATTAATTTATTTTTTAAAAATTTTGTGGGGGTGTTTGATGTAATTGTATGTGTAAATATGTGTGGGGGGCGTTGAAGTAAAATTCTTACTAAAATATTTTATTGTTATCATTTTTTTGAATAAGAAAAAACAAATTTGCATGATTCAAAGATTTTTTTCTTAAAGAAAAAAGAAAAAAAAAGAAAAAAGTTCTATGTGGACAAGTTTTAAGTGTAATTTTTTTATTTTTTATAATAATAATACGATGATTTTGATATTTTATGACTAGATGTGTTTTTATTTGCTATAATCAAAATTATTATTTATTTTATTATTTCTGTACCTACTCTACAATAAACACGTTTTAACAAACATTAAAAAAAAAAAAAAAAAAAAAAAAAAAAATATACATACACATTTTTTAAATACTAAAACCCTAACTTTTTTTTGTTGTAACTCATACTCCTATATTTTTAAAAAATATATAACCGATAATTTTTTTTTTAATTATTTTTAATTATTTTTTTATTTTGGAAAAAGAAGTTAAAAATAGTTCTTTAAGATTATTTAATAAAGAGGTATAAAATAACCTTATTATTATTTTTTTTTTTTTGAAACATATGAAAATTAAAATCAAAATATCTAAAAAATCAAATAAACAGTGAATGGTTTTTTTAAAATTATTATTATTTTTTTTTTTTTTTTTTATTTTTAGTTTTTTTTTAAAATTATTTTCTTTTTATATTTTTAGAATCATTGAAATGATTTTAAAAAAGGTTAGGAGTTGAATGTTTGAGAAATTCTATTAAACAAGAGATTTGGTTGATATTATTATTATTATTATTATTATTATAATTTATAAGATGATTTTTATGTGGGTGTAGGTGTGAATGTGTGATGGTTTTAAAAAATTAATTAAAATTTGATTAAATATAAAAGTATTATAATTTGTATGTGTGTATAAAAATTGATATATTATTATTGTTGTTGTAAATGTAAAATATAAAAATAAAATAAAAATTAATTTATCTTCTATCTTGACCACCACGACTTCTTTTACCAGAGAAAAGATGTTTTGGCATTTCATCATAAACGTGACGATCGGCTTCACCTTTTCTACCATCCTTATTTCTTTTTCTGGCATGAACCTTAGCGAGTTTTTCAGCCAATATTTTTTGAGCAAGATCAGCATAACCTTCACCTGGTACTGGAGCAATAGTACGTGAACGTGAACGGGATTGTGAACGACTGAGAGATTGGTCTCTAGCAGCTGATTGTGAGGCATCACGAGATTCTGAACGATCACGTTTTCTACCGGTGATACGTGATTTTGAACGTTCACGAACACTAGCCATAATATCATCGAGTTCTTCTTTTTCGACGTGCATTGAAGTAAGGTGTTTCTTCATATGTTCAGTATCGATACCTTTAACACGAGTGATTTGTGGTTTACCTGAATCTTTAATTCTATGGTTAATACGAAGTTCGTGTTTCTTTTCTTGAATTTCATCATAGAGTTGTTGATTTTCTTCATCGAGATCAGATTCTGAATCTTCATCACCACCATTGTTTTTGAGTTCTTCAAGGAAAGCTTCTTCTTCCATTTCGAGTTCTTCTAAACGTTTGAGAATATCTGGATCGACAAAATCAGCAATGTTTTTACCGTCAATGATTTCTGGGACAATATCGAATTTCCATTCTTCGTTTTTGAGGAGGAATTTCTTTTTCCAAGCATTGATATCAAAGATTGGAATAATACCTTGAGCATATTGTTCGTCATGTTCAGCTTCTTCGAGCATTTCTCTCATGGCAGCAGTAAGAACTGGTTTCTTTTCATCGCCTTCTTCTTCCATTTCAGCTTGTTGACGAGCAGCGACAACAGATTGTGGAATGCATGGTGGACGTTTTTTATTATCTCTTGCAACTGGTACAGCTAAATGAAGTCTGTGAATTTCTTTTTCTAATTTGGCTGATTTTAATTTCTTTTCAACTCTTTCTTCGAAAAGGATTGAACAGGCGGTTTCTTTAACTTTAGCGATACCTTCTTCAGTTAAATTGGACATTGGAACTAATTGAGTGCCACCAATACCACCTCTAGCTGGATCACTTAATGATTGAATGAGATTCCAATCATCTTCTGGTACATCTTCTGGTCTTCTGGCATCGATTTTATTTAAAATAACAACTAATGGTTTATTTAAAAATAATGCTTTAATACTAAAGAATAAATCGACCTAAATTTAATGAAAAAAATGAAAATAATTAATACCATATATAATTAATGAATACCAATAGGGAAAATAAAAATACTTACTTGTTGTTTAATTGTGTAACCACATCTTTCTGAAATATCAACTAAGAATAAAACACATGAGTGTAAATGGGCTAAAGCGGTAATAGATTGCATTTCAATTGTATTACGTTCATCTAATGGGTGATCTAAAATACCTGGAGTATCGATAACTTGCCATGAGTTATATTTAAAGTCAGTGTGACCAACAAATAATGATTTAGTGGTGAAAGCATATGGTTGGACATCAACGTTGGCTCTTGTGAGTTTATTCATAAAACTTGATTTACCAACATTTGGATAACCAGTTAATAAGAGTGTACGGGTATTTGGATCGATGGATGGTAAACGAGCAAGATGTTGTCTAACTTGTTCTAAATATTGTAATGAGGCACTTTGTTTTAACATTAATGTACACATTCTACCTAATGCTGCTCTCTTTAATTGTTTACAACGATATAAAGAATCACCATACTTTAATAATCTTAAATAATCTTTTGATAAATTATCAATAAGATTTCTTGCGGTATTTAATTGACCTAATGCAAGTTTATAATGATCTTTATCATATAATACATTAATTAAATCTGCATAAAATGGATGAATATCCTATTTAAATAAAATAATAAAAAAAATATTATAAATTAGTAAATAATTTTTATGATTATTTTATCAATTTATTTATCAATATTAATAATTTTACTTACATCTAATAATGGGAAATCGTTGATAATTTGAGTTAATTTTTCGTGGTATGATTGAGCAGTGTATTTAACTTTTCTAATATAAAATGTACGAATACGACCAATAGCATATTGTTTGTGAATTTCAGTTGGTGTTTTTCTTTGGGTTTTTGATAAAACGATATCAACAAAATCTTTTGATGTTGGTACAACTTGAATTTTTTTAAAATTATAAAGAACCATTTTTATTTATATATGTATGTATGTGTTTGTTTGTTTGGGTGTGTAGGTTGAATCAATTTCAAATTTTGAAATAGTTGACAAATATTATAAAAATAGATATTGATTATAAATTATAAATTCTATCTAAATTTTCGATTTTTTAGTTCTCGGTTTTTATTTGGTATGTGTGATTGTGTTGTGAAAGAAATATTTTCTATTTGTGATTAGATTATTCTTTTATTAAAAAATTATTATAATAAATTTATTATTTGATTAAAAAATAATTATTATGTATATCTTTAAAGAATAAAATTTTTCGTAAATAGAACACACTTTGGAGAAAAAAAAAAAAAAAAAAAAAAAAAAAAAGTTAAAAAAAAAAAACGATAATACTCGTTTTGAAAAAAAAAAATTAAAAAAAAAATTAAAAAAAAATTAAAAAAAAATAAATTTTTAAAAAAAATAAATAAATAAAATAATAATAAAAAAAAAAAAAAGATTAAATTAATAATTTTTCTCGTTTTTTTTTTTTTATTCACATATTTTAGATAATAATAGTAATAGCAAAGATACTTTTATCTATACTCGATTTTATTAGTAATAATTTAATTTTTTTTTAAAAAAAAAAAATTATTTAAACATTACCAATTTGTAAAATACTTTTACTTTTTTAAATTATTTTAAAAAAAATAAAAAATAAAAAATTTATTTAATAATTTTTAAATTATTTTTAATAGCGGACAATAAATAAATTATATATAAATAAAAACAATATAAATAATATAGCACATATATAACACTACATATAATAATATTCATTAAAACTTAGGATGATTGAAATCATGGAGAATAATAGTAATACAACAGATACCACCGCTGCTAATGCATTAGCAATTGTCGATGCTGATTTTGCAGTTGTTGCCAAATGGATTATTCCAGTTATTCCAGAGAACACAGTTTACGAAAATCATTGTTTAGTAGTCAAGGATGAAAAGATTTTAGATATTGTTAGATTCTCAGATTTAGAAATGAGATATAATGTAAAGAATGTTATAAATTTAAAAGAAATGAATTCAGACAACAGTTCATCTGTAAATTCAACAAGCGAATATATTTTAGCACCAGGTTTCTTCAATATGCACAGTCACAGCGCAATGTCATTATTAAGAGGTTATGCTGACGACGTTTCATTGCACGATTGGTTAACAAAGTTCATCTGGCCTGCTGAAGCACAATATGTCAGTGAAGAGTTTGTTAAAGTTGGTACAGAGTTAGCTTGTTTAGAAATGATCAAAACTGGTACAACTTATTGTAATGATATGTATTTTTACCCAGAAGTTGCCGCTAAAGTATACGAATCATTTGGAATGAGAGCTACAGTGGCCGCACCAATTATTAAATTCCCAACTGTCTATGCTAAAACTGAAGCTGAATATATCGAAAAGGGTATTACTTTAATCGAAAATTATAGAAATAATAGTAAAATCAAAATTTCACTTGGTCCACATGCTGTTTATACAAGTAGGCATAATTATATATATATATAATAAATACTAAAAAGATATTAACATTTTTTTTATTTTTTTAATTTAGTTACTGATGAAGCATATATCAAAGTTAAAGAATTATCAGAAAAATATAATATTAAAATTCATACACATTTACATGAAACATGCCACGAGGTATCAGAAGAAATTAAAGCAGTTGGTAAGAGACCAATCGATAGATTAAGAGATCTTTCAGTTTTATCACCATCATTAATTGCAGCACATATGACACAATTAACAAAGGAAGATATTGATTTAACTGCTAAAAGTGGTATTCATGTAGTTCATTGTCCAGAGTCCAATTTGAAATTGGGTGTTAAAGGCGTTTCACCAGTTCACAAACTTTTAAAACTCGGTATTAACGTATCAATCGGTACAGATTCAGCAGCATCAAACGACGATTTAGATATGTTAGGCGAAATGAGAACTGCAGCATATATCGATAAATTATCAAGCAATACCCACACACCAGAAGGTGGCGAATCAGTAACACCATCTTATAAAATGCTTGCTATGTCTACTATTAATGGTGCTAAGGCTTTAGGTGTCGATGATAAATTAGGTTCACTCCAAATTGGTAAACTTGCAGATTTTATTGCCGTCAAAGTTTCAAGTCACCCAGTTTATGACCCAATCTCACATTTAGTTTATGTTGGCACTAACCATGTCACCGATGTTTGGGTATCAGGTAAACAATTATTAAGAAACTCTAGACTTACTACCGTAAACGAAAATCAACTCAAATCAAAAGTTATCGAATATCAACACAAAATTAATTCAACTCGTCCTAAAACAAATCTTAAAATTATTAATTAAAAATTTAAATAATTTAAAAACAATAATAACAATAATAGTACAAATAATAACAATATATTATTAATAATAATAATAATAATAATAATAATAATAATAATAATATTTAATTTATAAAATAAGCAATTATTACTAATTAGCATTTAATAATAAAATTATTTATATTTTATATATAAATTATATAGATTTAAAAATTATATTTAAAAATTAACAATTTAAAATAATTGTTATTTCTTTTTTTTATATTTTTATCTTTTTTAAATTTTATAAAATTTTAGAATGTAGTATTTTAGCCAAAAAGAAAAAGGGACACTATTATATTTTAGAAAAAAAGAAAAAAAAAAAAAACACAATCCAATTTCCATCAACGCATATTAATTTATTAAAAAAAAAAAAAAAGGTAACTATAAAGACAATATAAGTGATGATAATAATAATGATTTTTTCAAGTATTCATGTAATAATGAACAGTGTATATTATAATAAATAATTCAGATAATAAAAATTTATAATAATGCAGGCAATAATATAATATAAATCTAATAAATATTGTTTTTTTGAAGTTAAAAAAAAAAATTTATTTTTGATTTTATTTATATATTTTTAATTTTGTTTTCTATTTTAGGCATAATTAGTTATTTAATTATTATTTATTATATGTTTTAATTATATCTTTTTTTTTATTAAAAAAAAGAAATATTAAACCATTTTTCTAATAATCACTTTTTTTTTTTTTAAATTTTTTAAAAATATAAAAATATAAAAATATACCTCCTATTAAATATTATTTAAAAAAAAGAAAAGCATAGTGAAAATTAAAATATATACTATTTATAACAATAAACCTCCATAACCATTTTTTTTTTTTTTTTTACTATTTTTTTTTTTTAATGTATACAGTTTTTTCACCACTACCAAATTTAAAAATTAGCCATTAACCATCAATAGATATTTACCCCGCTGAAAGATGTACAGATACAGCTTTTTCACACTCACACTACAACCCACTATACCCCACCACACCACACCACTTTCAAACATTTAATCACAATTTAAAACGAATTAAAGTTTTTTTTTTTTTTAACCACATCATTCAAAGATAACAACTTGTTTTTTATTGGGTTCTAAATATTAAAATTTATTACCAAATTTATAAAATGGATAAAATATAAAAGGAGGAAAGAGTTGGAGGTTTTTTTTTAATTGTTTTCATTTTTAGTTTGCTTCTATTTTTGCAACTATAAAAATAACAATAAAAGATATTGCACTTGTATTTTTTCTTATCAACCAATTAAAGGGTATCAGATTTTGATATTATAAAAAAAATGGAAAGTGATCAAAAGATTTTGTTAGAAAGATCTATTTGTTAATGATGATGATGTTAATGATTATAATAACGATTTACTGATAATCATAAAAGTTATTATTATTTTGTTTATTTGTATTTGTTGTTTTAGAATTGTATGTTGTTTTTAATAATTTTTTTCCTTAACAAAAAGTTAAAAAAAAAATACCCAAAACACTGTAGTAGGTAAGATTTAAATTATAAATCCATCAATACCATGCACAAAAGCCCGTAATAATCATATTATAATAATAACGTCTATATCACCATCATCAGCATCATCAGCATCATCATCAATATCTCAATCTTAAATACCAATTGTTAACTTTTGGTTTTTTTTTATTATTTTTGACAATGATAATTTGATCATAATCATTAGTTTCTAATAAAAAAACTTATGTTTAGGTTGGGTTAGATATTATTTAATATGAAAGGTGTGCCCATCTTGATTTTCATATTCATTATAAAAAGAAAAAAAATATCTTTAATAATAATTTTTTCAAAATTGTTAATTGTATTTAAAAATTAAAAGGAAAAAAGATAAGTAGTTACCACATAAAAAAGTTTATACTTAATGATTTGGGAAAATTGAATTAGGAAAAAAAAAGAGAAAGGTATGTATTTATAGCACACAAGAGTGTGCCACATAAAAACAAACACAATATATCATCAACAAAGAAATAATTTTAAACCACACCATAATTAATTAATTAAATTTTTAAAAAAAAACACACACACCATCCACCTTAAATAATTCACACACACCAAAAACATATACATTTATATAACCTTATATATAGATATTTAATGAATTTAGTAATGACAAGAGATTGAACTTTAAAAAAAAAAATATGTATTTTCTTTTTTTAAATAATAATTTTTTGTAGATAAAAGTTACAAATTAATAAATACAATTATTTTTAAACTAAAATCTTGATTAACAAATTACAATTGATTTATTTATTTAAATGTTTCATTTTTATTGAAAAAAAATATAAAATTGATGCTATTGAAAACAATTTATTAAAAATTAATATAATTTAATTTGTTTTTATTTAAAATTAATAAAAAGTTGAAGTAATAAAAAAAAATGATTTCTTTTGAATTTAAGGGAAATAATTAAATAAGATTTTAAAAATTGAGATGTATATAAATGTCTAAATGAAGATATCCAATTAAACAATAATATTTTATTATAAAAAAACAGCAAAACTTTCACCCATTAGTTCATTCTATAACTAGACATTTATCGTGATAAATCCAAATGATAATAATAATTATTACTATTATTTTAGAGTATTAAATTAATTGTTAATTTCAATTCTAATAAGATGAGGTTTTAAAAAAATTATGAAAAAAAAAAAAATTTAATATTAAACCGAGTGTGATAGTGGTGGAAAGAGTGAGCGTGTGTGTTTGTGTGAGTGTTAAAATGAAAGTGGTGGTAGTAGTGGTAATGGTGGTGATAGTGGTAGTAGTGGTAAAACCCTCCTTTTAAAATTATATTAACATACTTTGTAATTATTGGGGATTGATAATAATAATGGTACTAATAACAAATATTATAATTTTTATATTTTTCTTCTTCCTATTATTTTTGTTGTGGTTGTTGTTAATTTATAATATAGTTATTTTAGTTGTCTTGGAATTTAAATCATAATTTTTTAATTTTAAAAATAATGAATTATAAAATAATTAAAAAAAAAGTAATAAATAAAACATTTTAAAAAATTAACCAAAGTACAACACCAAATGAATATAAAATTAACTCTATTTCTTATTTAACATCTCGCATTAAAATTTTTATTTTTCAACCACACCACCCATAAGAATTGAAATTTTCTAGTAATTTTTTTTTTTTCTCTAATACTCTTCTCATTCAAATCTATCATTTTCTCTCTAACATAAAATGCATGTGCATTAAACACATTCACACTCAACCATTCACCCATTTTCTTTTATTTTTTTAAAATAATAAAAAATATTAATAAAAATAATTGATATCAAAACAAGAAAGTTGAGAATATTAACAATCCATTTCATTTTTTTAAAGTGAAAATACCCAATTATTATTATATACTCTTTTTATTTAAAACAAGAAACAAACTATTTTTTTTTATTATTTTTAAAAAAAAATGAAATTAAATAAATGAAATAAAAAAACAAAGAAAAAAAAATCACACACAATCAATAATTGGTTTAAAATGATTTTAAATAAAAATAAAAATAATAATAATAATAATAATAATACCATTTTAATATTAAACCATAATACTAACAACAATTCCACTTCAACTAATTATTATATAAGATATTGATAAATATATGGGTATGTTTTTAATATAAAAAAAAAAACCATTAATAAAAAATTAAAAAATTTAATAAATAAATAAATAATAAAAGAATAAAAATAATAATAATTTTAATGTTGTACAACACAGAATATTTTTTAAAAAAAAACTTTCCTTTTTTATAATTTGTAGTTGGAAAATGATATTTTTTTTTTCTTTTTTTTTGGTTATTTAAAGATTTTATTTTATTTTCTATTTTCCTTTTTAATTAAAGTTAATAAAGAACATTAAAAAATAATTCCTTTAAAAAAAATAAAATAATTTTATGTTCTAATCAAAAAAAAAATAAAAATAAAATAAAAAATAAAAAAAAATAAACACTTTTTTTAAGAATGACAATTATAAGTAAGTATTTTTTTTTGTAGATTTTTTTTTTACTAAATGTTAAATAGTTAATAATAATACTAGTAGTAAATAAAATAATTAGAATATTGCTTTATTATTATATTAAATGGTTTTCAATTATTTGTGATTTTAATTCAAAGATATTTTTAATTTATATTTATATATTTTTGATTGTATATTAAATGCATATAGATATTAATATTAGTTTTTTTATTTTTATTTTAACAGATACTATAACTCTTTTATTAAATAAAAATTCATCGATAACCAACTTTAAAAATAATAATTTTAATAATAATATGAATATAAATAATTTAAATTGTAATATAAATATATATGGTTCAAATAAAGTATCAGTTGTTTCTGGTTATATTTATAATAATCCAAAAGTTACAGGGTCAGAGTCTGCTTTTCCTTCACATTAAAAAAAAAAATTAAAAAAATAAATTAAAAACTCCCTGCCTAGAAGTATGTTTTTTGCTACCTAGTGTCCATGTAAAATATATTATATAAAAATTATAAATAAAAAACCTTTTCAAATATAAACTATTATTATTATTTTTTTTTTTTGGGAATATTTAATAATTATTGTTTCTTATAATAGATATCTGTCTTGATTTTGTTTATTTTTTTTAATATTAAACATTTTTTATTTTTTTTATTTTTTTTTTTATATATAATTATTTTAAATAATAAATTGGCTTTATCCAATAGCAGAGTTATAGTTTAATCCCATTCAGAATCAGAATCAGAATCAGAATCATCTTCAGAATCGGAAGCAGCCCATGCAATACGTCTAGCAAGGATATCAGCTACATTAAGAGCAGCAGCTTCTTCTTTTTTGCTTGTTGGTTCAGGAATTTTACGTTCTTCAGCTGGTTTGAGGGCAATACCTTGCATAATTGAAGATAAAAGATCGGAACGAGCACCAGAGGCTTT